TATAAAAAATAAAGAAATGATTTATGATACCTATATAAATATATATGAAAAGAACTGTATTAAATTACAAACAAATTATGGGTAATATAACTTAAAATGAATTAATTATTCAATTTTATTTAATAACTTAATATATTAAAAAAATAATAATAAACAAATGGAAAATTATGTTGTCATACCACATTAAACACATTTATTTAATATTTTAAAACCATAAAGTACATATTCATTTTTTTGAAATTTTCAATAGGTAGCCCATGATTACGAGTATATCACTTATTGATACAATTGTTCAAACATGCGATAATATAATATTTAGTTATACATATTAACACTTATATTTTGTTTTACTTATCATTAACATAAAAATAATATATTTAACACTATTCAACTGAAATTTTTGTAGGTTATTTCGAAGATAATATTGTATTGCATTTTGCTTCATCAATGACCTCCGGTGCCATTACAACTGTAGCTTCACTGCCAGTAGATATTGCCAAAACTAGGTATGAATATAATACAATTAAATAAAATATTTGTATAATGACAAAATATGCAATGATTGTCCAAACTCTGTTTTTATAGAATCCAAAGCATRAAAATTATTGATGGAGTACCAGAATATACTGGCACAATAAATGCAATGGTAAAAGTTGTGAAGAATGAAGGTTTCCTCAATTTGTGGAAGGGCATTGTGCCATATTTTGCTAGAATTGGACCTCATACCGTATTAACATTTATAGCTTTAGAAAAGTTCAATGAGGCATATAAAGTTGCCGTGTATGAACGTCAGTCAAAAAAATAAATATTAAAATAGTTATTAACTAAATAAATAATTTATCCATAGGTACATTCTTACGATTTATAATTTATAATTTTTGTTTTTGTTTTAGTTTTATTGTTTTATGTTAAATATTCTGTTTATTATTATTTTTTTTTTTGTTTATTATTGTTAAAAGTGAATTTTTTCCCAATCAATATTTATTAAATTTAATGTCTTAAATAAATCTACAGTATATAATATATTAAGATTTAAGACTGTAATAAAATATATTATGTACCCAATAAGAAAAATTAGGAATGAACAAATACATACTATAGATTGAATATGATAAAATATATTGTGAATCTTAACTGGCTGAAGCAATTTTTTCTAAATGCCGTACTGCGTCYTTTAGCTTAAACACTAGTTCTTGAAGTTCCTGCGTATTGCAGACGAAGTCAATGTATTTTAATGTACCGTTGTCTATTGTCTTCAGCCGCACTTTGTATAATAATTCAGATACGTCATCAAAAACACTAGACTAATAACAAACACATTTATTGTTATTGTACTAATGTTATAGTTTGTAAGTAAAACACATTGTTTATTGAGTCATATGTATTATATCTATATTTAGATGATATAATTTAAATTCGATTAGCAAATAATGTGCATGTAAGCTGCTTAATGATATGTAACACGACAATAATTTTAAAATAGATTACTCTTATAGCTTTAATTATTATTGATATAATAAAATTAAAAACATTATATACTGACTTGTACACAGTAATCGAGGCGACATTCAACATCAACAACATTAGCCAAAGATGTAGTGGTAATCTTGGAAACTTCCACAAGACGTGGTCTAACAGATTCATAGGTTTTAATGATCTCTGGTAAACGATCGGTATTAGCCAAAACTAGTGTTTGCATGGTTTGATTCAACGACTTTCCGTCCAGGCAATGTCGACTAGCAATTGTAAATAGAGCTACCAATGAAGCAAAAGCTTCTTTAGCAATATCTTGTTTAGAAGTAATGCTTATGGTAGACTCTGAAATGATAAAGATATTAATCAAAAATTATTAGTTTAAAATTTAAGTTAACGTTAATGAAAGTATATATATATTTGTATAATTATATACATAAATAAGTGAATTATAACCTTTAATAACATTTCTGAAATTTATCCTAAACAACTTAATAATAACATTATGTTTCGGTACATTAAAAAATAGGACATACAATTTTTATCTTTGTTATAATTTATAATTATTATATAAAAATAAAATGTTTAAAAGTACTATTTAACCTGTATATAACAGAATAAGTGAAGTCAAATTAAAATTTTTCTATTATAAAAATTGTATTACTATACAAATTCATGATAAAAGTAAATTGAAATTAAAATTAATATATATGTAAAATGTATATGGTAAGAAAAACAATTAAAAAGAAATCCAACTAATTAATGATATGTTTAATAACTCAATCGTCTCTACTAACCGATTTAATGAGGTAATTGATAAGTACAACTTTTTTGAGACCACAAAAGAAGCGTAACCAACATAAGGTGTAAAGAATGGCGTTAGGTGAAGGATTAAAAATTAAGAGAAATAAAACATACCATCAATAAACAGATTAACACATTAGATTCAATTAGAGAACTAAATGTAATACTTCAACGCTTAAAGATATAGGGCGTTCAACAAATGGGAATAAACAGAGCTTGAACGACTAGTGGATCTAAAATCCATTAAATAKCTATTGAAATTTTGTTATTTTAATCAAGAATTTATTTATGTTTGTTTTTTATTCATCATACAGGTTATTATTATGAGTTTAAATTTTTTTAAATATGGTCGGTCATTTTCTTAAATTTTAGATTTAAAAAAAAAGTTTGTATTATTGTTACTTGCAGGTAACAATAATACAAATTATATATATATTTATATATAACAATAATACAAATAACCTTTTAAATAACAATTAATTTTGTAACATTTTTCTAATACATATTGAAGTAATTATTTGCATCAATGCCGGGCCCCAGTACCATGGGTCCTTTTGACCCCTCCTCCCTATGTGGAGGCTCTGGTTATTGGAAGTTTTCAACTACCTAAACATTAGTCAAGATAAGCAAGTTTGTAGATTTCAATGAAAACTGAATAAAGTGAAAGAAAATAACAAAGTACTGATGCCTAATGGTTAATTTAACAAATAATAATGATCAGTTAATATTTAATTTATTGTTAAGTAAAACTTTATAATCAGATGTACCTCTAATTGCTAAATTAAAATATAGTTCAAGATTAAGACATTTTTTAGAAAAAATATATAATTTTGAATTTCTACCAGAATCTTTCTACATTACCTACGTAAAAATTATGTAGAAAAATGTTATCATCACACAAATTGTTAAACATTACATAAGTGATAAAAAATGTATTTATAAAATATATTTTATTTTATATTTTTAATTATAGTTATTATTTATTATAATATCAAAATTTATTTAAATAGACGATGTGGTAATTTTTAAGTTCATATGTTAATTTTTGAGGTATTTTAGGAATTTTTTTTATTTAAATAGCATATTAAAATACTATCTTAAATTATAATAATTTGTAAAAAAGGTTATCATTATGACATTATGTGAATATATCTATAATACAGTTTTATAATATTGTTCTTATAAAATCAATGCAATGAATTATCGCAAGTTAATAGGTAAACTAAGTAAATTATTAGTTATTCTAAAATAACGAAATAGATTATTAGTTCAGTAAGGTACTCCGTTYTTACCATTGTCAAATGTTTGTCCTGAAGTATCATCTAACAATGTTCCCAGTATATTTTCAGCCTTTTGTAGTAATGTCTGGAAACATTTGTCGTTTATCAGTGCTGGATTACACAACCGCTTCAGCCCCAGTTCAATTTCAGTTGATATATTCATTTTGGCTTTAAATAAGTTTGTTGGATATTCACTACAGCAATAAATATGATCAAATTTAAATTTGGAAGTTCTTAGAAACCTACATATCTTATTTTAATTAATAATTAATAATATATTATTATATAATGATGTATCATAACCAAATAAATAATTCAGATATAAATTTTAATACCTCAGTTCATGTCCAGATCTACGATTAAAAAATATTGTTTAGTTAATTCCATAATAGGTACTTTGACTTTAATATATAGACTTATGTATAATACCGTACTTATTATAAAATATTACGAATGATTTATTATTTATGTAAAATACTTTAAAAATAATTCTTTATATTTTCAATTGCATGTTTCACACTTTTACTTAATACTTGTTAATTAATTTATTAAGCAAAAATAAAATTTAGAATTAACCAATTAASAATATTAACATGAATCTCTTCAAGATAAGAAACTTATCCACTCTCGCCTTGGTTATTTAGCCATGCTTCTCATATCGTGGGCACCTTAGATCATTTACTAGATATAGTAGTATATGATCTAAGGTGGGCACTATTGATAGCACGTTACTATACGTCATAGGCCGTTAGGAATAATAATACCTTATTRCCTTATTTGTTACGGCTTACACTGCGGTAGATAACGATTAAAGCGCTCGTGGCGGTTGTCATAAATACTACATTTAAATAACAAGGTAGATTGGATTGATCCACTTTGATCTTCGTTTAATAATTGATCATGGAACAATCTAAATATCTAATACCTAGGTTGTTATGTTGTAATTATGTAATGTATTATTTTATATTTTGCTTTTATATTTTGCACATAGCAAACCATACTCTTTTAGTCATACAAATTATAACTWCTATCTATTCTCATGGCCATGAACACAAAATCATTGATCACTCATATCGGTGTTTATGATTATTTATTGTACATAATGTAATTAATGGTGAAATAGGCCAATATAATATTATATAATAATAATAATGACAATATATTTAGCAATAGGTAAGTAGATACTCTATTAGTCAAGTTTATAACATTTTTTTACATTTTATGATTGTTCTTGAATTTTAATTGTGTAATGTGTTCCAATGTCTGTTTCTTTCTGATCTCTTTAAAATATTTTTTGCCACAGCGGCTACGATCAATAAAACATTTAATTATGAGTTACACCAAGACCCACTTCTAACACTACCTATATTTTATTGTTTGTTTCCTTGCTGCATAATATTACCAGTAGTGTACATTTAGTTGCATATCCACGACGCCGCGTAATCATAATATTTTCACCGCCAGAATTTTAATCGAAAAATTAATAAATATGATTATTTAATATTTATTAATAGGGCCCGGATTTCAATGTAAGTGTATTACTTTTTGGGTTCTCAATAACGAATAATGATTCATTACTAGTTCATAATTACTACAAAAGTGAAAATTTTATTTTGTATTTTTATTTTATAATTATCAGATTATTTAAATTGATTTCGAGTGCATATAGGTAATATACTGTATGAACTTTTAGTCTAAATTAGTTAATTCAAAATATTAAATCAATAACTAATATTATTTTCTTTATTCGTTTTGAGTATTTTTCATTTGCATTATAATATTCTAATCGTTCTAAATATAAATGCAATAACGTCTTTATCTATCTCCAGCGATTATCCTATTTTAATG